TTCCCGCTAAAAAAGGATTTTACTGACACTGCTGTGCGACTGTACTACCTATATACTGTAAATTAATGTTACTGCGAGCTGACGTGACAGTCGAGATTGCCCACTAATGGACCTCTGATGTACTGCGTATACATCGCTTCTGCTTCTAGGCATATTTTATGGTGGGTATACATTAGTGTGACGTAGTCAGTGTCAAACGTTTTGACCGGACCCGATGATATCCGTCGAACGAACTCGTCTCGTTATTGTTTTTTTTTTTTAACTGGCAATCATCCGTCGTAAATAGTTTTGTCAAACTCGAATATTATATTTTATAAAATAAACCGCGAAAAACCGACGGTATACAAGATGTGTCGTATATATATGATTGAATATTATTTTTGAACCCTCCGGTTCTTATACGTTGAAATTGTTATTAAAAAAAAAAATTATCATATTAATGTATAAACACCCATATTATAATAATATATTAGGTGTATATTATATTCTCACGGCACTTCTTCGTCTGCATAGGAATTTTCACCAGTCGCGTATAATATACTGCGGCATACGGCTATTGTGTTGTGAACTTCTGCAGTACGATTTATATATATATATGCTGAATCCAATCATATACTATCAACTATCAGGTACCTATACACTTATCGCGAACAGAGATCCGACGAATAATATGTGCGACCTCGAACGTCAGCAGACTCGACTCTCCGCCCTACAGTCCGACCTGCAAGTCGACGAACACGCCACTGCTGCAGGGAATCCGACACCGCCGACAGACGGCTGCGTATAGTTTGGGTGTGTGTGTGTGTAATGTGTATATGAATGCATGTTCGGTATACTGTGTTTTATTCGTATATATTATAAATGAAAAAACCCTTAAACCTCCCGCCCTCGACACTCACTCACGCCGCTCCTTCCTTGAAATCTAGGTCATCATATCGCATCCCCCGTCTGCCGGCAGCCGCCACCATCGCCACCAGCACCACCACCACCACCGACTGATAACCTCGTCGCAAACAAATAGCGTATAATATAACGATTTAATGATGATAGTATATAATATGGTAATACTAATACAATATATATATATTATATTATACGCGCATCGCGTTCGGTCGCTCGGTGTTTATCGACCGAAAGTGTATGGTCGCGTACTATATATGGGGCAATTAGAAACTTTTTAACTGTTTTCGTCGTCGTAAAGTGTTGCAGCGTGGCCACTGTGTCGGCAAACTTACGGCTTTTGGCGCACGCCATACAATGTATAATAACAATATAATATAATATTATGATGGTGCAAACTAACCTATATATATATAGTAGCAGGCGGTCGGAAGACTTTGGCGTCGTCCGTCATCGTATCGTCCGGTTGCAAATATTATATTAATCTAATGTGAGGCGATTTGTTTCGTCGTGATTAAATTCCACCGTCGTGACATAACCGACCTATGTACATATACATCGTATATCGACTGTCGCATACACACACACTGAAAATACTAACTGATTGCGGCAATACATAATATATGTGTCCAATGCACCGCAATGACTGTTTGGGCTGTAATGCCGACAAATCACTTGTGTTTTTGCGAGTGTGCCCTTTAACTGTTCCGACGACCGTTATCGAGTGTCGTGTTTACGTATATATATATATATCGCCTTATAGGATTATGGAAGGTAGGTCCAGCCACTCAAACACACACCCACATTAGTCGGGGCGACTATACCCGGCGTAACTGGGGCGCGATAAGAAGTCGTTGAGACCCCCCCCCCGATGCAGGGGGTGGTTGAACTGTGTCAAACCGGGAGAAAGGAAAAAAAAATAGAATTATCGCCAAATATATGTGTATTGCAGTTTATAATACGGGCGCCACGTCGGACGACGATATTGGCATAATATAACGTCTTGACTGATTTATATCTGTGCCCATCATGACGTCATTGTACAATATTACGTTGAGATGCTTTGATTTTTTAATAATAATATGTATATAGGCATTGTATATTAAGCTTGCCTTTGCCGTTTTTATGCAATAATAATAATATAAAATAGCTAATTTATCGCTATATATATATATAAGCAAATATAGCATTATATAGACTCGCTGTACCGTGTTTTCCAAGTATACAACATAGGAACTAGAATAAAACATCAAACGAACGTCATTATAATTTATAATATAAAACATCGACAACTATTAAATTCTTAAAAATCTCAAAAACAGGATTTTTAATTATTATGTACTTCGGAAAATTTTAATTTTATTCACGCGTCTCTTCTTGGATTTTAATCTATTCCGTCTTGTGATTATAAAATAATGTATAATGGGAGAAAACTATAATATTATTACTCTATTCGTTTTAAATATCAAAATATTTTATGTATAGTATTATTCTGTGATTCGTGTACCTTATAATAAGTTATAACTTTTGGTTGACCCAGATACGTTGCAACACTTTAAATTGTTTATACTTTATAATATAATATATTATACAAATATCCAAAATTTGGATCTTATACCACAGTCTATTATCAAGGTGGAATATATATTTTATACCCCGCATTTTCCGAGTACCTGCTTTAAAATCGCAGGCCAATAAATGTGAAAACAATAAGACTGCGACACAAAGAATCTTATCTGCATATAAATTAGATTGTTTACAGGTGTTTCGAATAGTTGGTTTTGTTATTATTAAACACTCGGTACATAACATAACATATACCCACTATTAAACTCGCCGAGTAAACCTCTTCCCTGCAGACGCAGTCGGATGGTATATGGTTCGTTACACGTCATGTAACAATCTTATTGAAAACATATATATAACACGATTATTCAATTGACAGTGTACATTATTTAGACATTTAAGTTATACCGCGCACAAAATAAAATATATCTGTTTTGTTTATATGTGGACACTTTTCTACATATTAGATGCACTTACTCGCGTATATATAAAGGGAAACACAAACTCCTATGTGTGTGTGTGTGTGTGTGTGTGTGTGTGTATACATTACACGCATACGAACAACCATAAAATCTCGTTGGGTATACGTCGCAGTCGTCTCGTTCAGTCTGTTTTCATTAAATCGTAAACCGACGTTATTGCACAGACAGACAAAATACACGCCGTACCCAACACTTTATGTAATATTATACTCGGTACTGAAATACGACTCCCCGAGATGACTTTGAAATTTCGTTATCGTCTCTCCGCCGACCGCGTGCTAGGTATATACCTAAACCGTTGTGTAGTTATTGTTTATTGGTAGGCATATTATGTTTATATATTGCGATAATTATAATATTAACCAATGTACCGCTAATAAAAGACGAACATCAAACACACTGCACGGATACAGCGTGGCGCGGCGTGTGTTAAACGTTTCGTAAATTAAAACAATAGACTCGAGTTTGGCGAAAGCCGTTGGAATATACCGTATATATGATGAATATTGTGATATGTATATATAGGTGTGATATGTGTTTCGATTCATCGTCTCGACCAATTAGTTATGCGTGTCACATGTACTGCAGATAGGTATGATAATGTAATAATGAATACGTCGCTGTTGTCGTTCTATTTACACTGTATGGTCTGCAGTGACTCATCATAAAAATCCGTTTAAAATTCACGTGATATACTCTGCACACGCTTTACAATATTATTTAGGTACTCGCACATCGCCAGAGAATTCCACCTTGTTTGTGCGTATCAGCCGCGCGCGTCACTCTTTATATCCACCCTGACATTATTCCGTTATGTCATTTTGCGGTCCTCCCCTATGCAACAGACAATAGTGTAGTGCGTATCGTACACGATATATAATTGGTCTCCGTCCAAATATTCGCTGTCCGTTTACACACACACGCACAAGCATTTGTACAAAACACAACTTCAAGTGGTCCTGCTAGTCGCAATTTAGCTTCGGGTGTTGTTTCGATCAGCTGCAGTAGCAGCAGGCAGCAGCAGTCGCTCCGACAATGTTTTACACGCTAATATTATCCGTTTTAATACATCATAATAAAACTGTGCTCGAACGTCTGGTTTTCCACCACGATCAACATCCGCATCACACCTCCGCTCTACATATGCGTATCATCACTAGCCCTAAACCACTGTTGTACACGCCTGTACGAGTGGATGCAAACCGTGTGCGGCGTGGCTATAGTATGGTGGTGGAATACTGCAAGGGGAGGGGAAAGCGGGAGAACCGAGGTAGGGAGATATACGTGTCTGGTCCGGACGAGGACCAGGGAGGAGAGTCAGCCAACACATATTTGCTCGTATAATATTATAATAATATATAATGTATATTATTGGCCATATATATATATGGTTTAAAACGTATACGAGATCGCGTTAAAATAACACTACACACACACACACACACACACACACGATTACTACACCATTGCTGCTGCTGCGGGTGAAACGAGCTCGCTTTTATAAATCACTTTATCAAGTTTGCTGCTGCTGCTGCTGCTCGTTCAAACAGCTCCATATATACGTTCAGTTTCTTAACTGGGTATATATATTGTATACGTATCTACCTGTGTGTGGGTGTGTGTTGGCGTAAATACAAACTCGTATATAACCGGCGTTCGCGTGTGCTTTGTGGAAGTTTTTGGTGTGCTCTTCACGGGTGCCCGGGCCGTATTGTCGGGTAGGATGCGCTTATCATTATTCTCGGACAAATCGCGTTACGCTCGGCCGGCTATTTGCTGCGGTTATATCGCGCACGCGCAATGTGTATGGTGGATGAAGTATACAGTTGTTGAAGTTTTTTTTGTATGTGGGGTGTGTGTGTGTGTGTGGCTGCCGTTATTATTTAGGTGCCTGAACTTTTTTATTCAGGTATATTATATTAAATAATATTTCATATTTACAGTTTGTAAAGTTTGTTGTCTATAATGTATACACTGACATTGTTTAAAATTGCATTTATAAACGAAATTATAAGTTAAAACGAGTATAGTAAGTAGGTATACCATGACACCATGTCGACACTCGGCTCGCGCGTATACAATCTGACTCTGCTCCTTCTTAATACTCGTAAGTCACACACATTTATTTGATATATCATAATATCTCTGTTTTTTTTTCTGTAGAGCAGCGTGGTTATATTTTCGCCTGCTTTTATATTATAATATCTCGCCATGTGTAGTAGTATAATCGCGTGAAAATATTATGAGGTGGCCGACTGCCGACTGGCGCCCCGGTCATAAATCAAAATATCGCCCTATATATAGACAGAAACTTACCGTATAATAGTATAAGGTACCTATCCGGCTTTCGTGCACGGTCATCGCGAACGGTGGACGTATATATATATATATATATGTGTATGTGTGTGTGTGTGGACGGAAAGAGCAGAGATGGATAGTGTATATTATATAATATTGTTGCAGGGAGGATGCGTGTAGGTATAGACGTGTGCAGTACATATATATAGTCATCGTGTCGAATCCACTCGTGTCGTTATATATATATATTTCTTCTATTATACTGGACATTGGGCATTATTATGTGCTTTCGTCCGATGATATATACGTTTATATCTAATAATATGTGTACGCTCTCTCAGGCGAGTCGACCACTTTTGTTTACTGTCCGTTTTCGATTCGCGCCGGCCGAACGGTATACCTATTCGAAACTCGCGGAAAATACGCTTCCCGTTCGGCCGCGGGACGGTGGGGGGGTTGCAGCTGACGATGCACGTTTTACCCCCTCGCGTAAGTGAATATCTGTCAACACACGGTGGCGCAGGCGATTTGTGTTTATAAATGATGTCACAGCCATATATACGACATTAATACATATATATATATATATCGATAACCTATATAGGTGTACGTTTTACTTCGCATATATCCACTCGATCACGCGTTGTGTCCGCGCGGCCAGGTTTCGAGAGAGAAATACGGATGCGCATTTGTTATAATATAATATACATATAGATAGATAGGCGTATATTATTGTGTTGCTTTGTGTAAAACGCACGAAAATTCATGACACTGGTGTGGGTGTGTGTACGTGTAACAGTAAGCGAGAAGGACGAAATAGTGCGTATACAATATATATAAGCCATAAAGGTATCGAAACTTAGTTTGTTGCTTATATATATATATATACACACACACATGTGTATTTGCTGTCTACGATTTATAACCTTTATAATATGTGTAATGGTTTGATACTTTTATTAAAGAAATGGTTTAGTCTTTTCCGGTTCTGCGGGGCTGGATATATTATATTGTTTTATATTTAGGGTGTTTTCGAACGGGGAGAAAAATACATACCGTTCTGCAAAGTTCTGTTGAATTCGTCGAATTTAGTGTGTGCGCAGTATACATTATTTATATTACATAATATTATGCACTCGTGCTGTATGCGCGTATATTGTATTTAATATTTTATTACAATATGTCCCGGAATCGTATACAGAAATTTGATAAATTTAACGACTCATCAGTGTCGCGGAAATTGTACATTGTATACGTGTATATATTATATAATATTTAAATGTATAAAGGTATACGTAGGTATTGTGTGGCATAGATCATCACGGGAGTTGATGTTGAGGGAACTGTTAAATATTCTATCCCGTTAAACTCGTTTGTGCGACCCGGCATAATGGTTATGCATTTTATTTGTCCAATAATCGTGCTCATGTACGCCCGCCGTGAAAATATCTTAACAAAATATCTATATTAAAAAGCTATATTGAATAATAAAACATTATAATTTAGTATTTCTCTTGTTTGTTTGTTCACTATGTTTTTTTTGTTTACATTTTTATATAGTTTTAAAAAGATAATTTAATATTTAATTTACTTTAACTACTATAAACGAGACAGCAAAAATGCATACATTTTCTCAGCTATTTTCCAAGGTATTTTTTCATTCTAACTTATTTTGTTTCTGTTTATATCGAATTTATAATTCAATCGTAACCTAATTATTTATTCGAACTTCATCGTTTTGTTAATTAATGTTGAGTTATATTTTTATTCACCTGAACTAATTTAAATCTACAATATCCTAGTAACAAACTTTACACTTAGTTCTATCTTAAAATAAGTATATTATTTAAATGTAGGTTAGCTGGTACTACAAAAATACAAATCAATATAATTTCCTTCCGAATAATGCTCACCTTGAAGTTAACAAATATTTTTCGATTTGCTTTAAACTTCTACTATGTATTTTATTAAAACGATTAAAACATAATATAAACAAATTTTAGTTATAATATAATGTCTGTCATTTTAAAATGCAAATATGATATTTTTAACGTCACAATTTTTAAATTGTTCTATGAATTTAATGTGGAAATTATAATTTCATGGTATTTTTATTCTGTAATATATGTTGAAATAACTATGAGAATGTCGTTTAACCTTTGTTGAATACAATTTTTTTTAAAGTAGCTCAAATTAAAACTAAAAAAAATGTTTAAAAGCTTCTACGTAAAACTACTTATTAATACTTTGATGTTTTTCACAAAGCAATTAAGATTTATCAGAATATTTACCACTCTATTGTAGGTCTATATAATTATAACATGTACCTATGTTTAGTATACTGTTTTTGAAAAGTTAATTGATTTTAGTCAAATATATCAGTAGATACTGTTATTTCGTTTGTGGAATACTTTTATATTGTAGACAATTCTTTAACCTTTCATTAATAGGAATATTATAATAAAAACTCAATAACAATTAAAAAGGTTCAAATTTTAACAGGAAAATTTATTTTTTGTTACAGGTGATATTACACAAAAAGGATACGAGAAAAAGAAGACAAGACTTTTGGCTCCTTATGCTCCTAAGCAGCCCCAAGGTTTGTAGTCGTTAGCTATTTTTTTATCATGTCTTTTAACGACCTAATCGATTTACATTTTTTGGTCTATAACATAAATTTTAAAACATTTCATTTTCTCTCTTCCTTTTTTTTTTATCATAATACGTATTTTGTTTCCGATTTCATTAAGGCTTCTTTATTGTCTGTCCTTTTTTACGATCAGACGTATTAAAATGTCCTAACTCAAATGGCCGTACCACGGTCCGTAATTTAAAAAAAAAATCACAAAACAAAGGATGGCCAACAAAGGGTAAGGTCAATAAATCTATTGTCCTACAAAATATATTAGTCTAGAAAAAGTTAATTTTATTCTAATGGTAAAACTGAAAAGTATTTAGTTTATTTTCTTGTACGTTTCAATAAGCACACAATTTTTAGGTACCTAATATGTTTAGAATAGGTTCGCACCAGTGGTTATATTTATTTATATTTCGTGTTGATCGCATTTTGTAATAACCGTCTCGTAGATATTTATCATATTAATTCATTAATATGTTTAAATAATTATAATTATTTTCTAAATATTTGTTGCGATTTTTTTTGTACCTATGGCCAAGTAGGTACCTATATACTATTTAAATTCATTAAATCTAAATCAATATTTTTTTCAATATTTATCTTTTGTGTTACCTCCTTAATTGACAAACATCATTATTATTAATATCTATAGGTATAACTCAAATGTATAGTTGATTATAAATTGATTTCCTTTTAAAATGTATGTTGTGGTTAGGATGGTACGTACCACGTAATACATTTATGCATATAATATGTACCTACCTATTTGTTTTTAAATCTGTGGCACTCCAGACAAGTATATAACCAGCTCTGGTAAATGATTGACGGTGTATTTCATAAACCGCGTGTGGTATACACATTTTAAAACGAATACCTGTACTAAATGTATATAATATTAAAAATGCATTAGTATTAAGTTTTATGTTTATCGTTAAGCCAAATAAAAATTACATAGTAGGCGGGTTCTGAGGTAATACATCTAAAACTAGAAAAAAATAGTTTTCGTCGTAGGTTGTACCAGTCATAGAGTTCATAGATATTATCTATGCGTTTTATTACCACCTACTTACAAATTAAACATGTCTATTTGCCAGTAAAACTACACCTATAAATACAATCATTTTAAATTACATCATTAATCATTCAACAATGATTTAGTTATGTATTCCTAGCAAATAATTACATACTTAACCATTTTTTTTTACATTTAATTTTGTATATAAATGTAAATGTCTAATCAACAGATTCTATGGGAAAATGATTTGTCTTTTTTATTACGTAATTATTCAACAAACATATACAAGTGTTTAGAAAAAAATTCATTAACTCGATGTCCTTACCCTAGTTTTGATAAATTTATCAAATTATCCAGAATTCTGTTTGCTGAAAGTCACTATTATCTCTGTGTGCATTTTCCCTTCGACATTTGACCTACTTTGTATTTTATTGGAAAGGAAATGATAACGAAATTCCCTCAGCTCTTCATATAAATTGGAATATATTTATTTACTTTTATTTGCACGTTAAACCATTTCTTAGTTGTTAGAGTATTTTATAATAATATACTGTTATTATAATTTTCAATAACTTATAATGGATTAAGTATGTAATTAAATCTGAAAGTAAGGAAAGTCAGTAATATAAATAATTAAGTAAAAACCTTTTGGTGATATTCTAATGTCTCGTCGAATTAAATCGATTTATAAAACCTTTTAAATAAATTAAATACAAATTTAGTTCAATTTTATTTATCTTCGTTTGTAGATGTTTAAGTATTATACGCTTTCGTAGTTCTTGCATTAAAAATTTACTATACTTAAAGACACACAACTAATTTCCGGTAGGTGTAAACCCCAATATAATATACTAGTCATCAATCTAAAACAATTGACCTAACTAGGTTTAAGGACATCGCCCAATTATTATTGAATTTAATACACGAGTTTTGATCTAAAGGATGTAAGCACTTCGTTTCGTATAAAATATATGAGGTTTCGATAGTTCAATAAATAACAATATTAAGCAATTCGAGCACACTCTAGATGTAACGAATATAATTTGACGTTATTATAGTGTTTGATACATCATATTATTGCGAATTATCCAATCTGTCCAATTCTTGGGAAATATGATTGCAGAGAGTACCTACCTAGTCTATTAAACGTTTTTGTCCTTGCGGACCCTGTAATTTCTGTAAATCCAAAATAATTAAAGACCTCAATTTAGTCACGATAAATGGTAATACTTACGCATAGATACAGACGCAACTCTGATTACAATTCGTGTTTTTCGCCTGGGTATATAAAGTCAAATCCATACTGTATGTATGTGATATGTCTGTGTGTGTGTATATATATTATAGTATATAGTATTTAATGTAATAGTTTGTAATATATTGTATATATACAGAGGGAAGACACAAAGTCCTTGATTTTCGCCTATCATGTACGATAATAATATTATGTTATTTTACTATTTATTCTATCTATGACCTATATATTATATATTATATTATATTTGTGTAAAATATCATGTGAGTATTGAATGTGCTGAACCAAGCGTGTGTGTTGTGTATACTTTACAGCCGGTCCCCCATCGGCTTCAAACAGTAAACAGCCGTCTTCCCAGCAGCATCAACATCATCAACATCGCACCAGGCGCACGCAAAGACGTGTCACTCATAATGAGAAACGATATCACTCAGGTACATTATATAGACCCTTGAACTTTTGTGCATTCCCCCTTTTTCGATTTGTATAATAATTATAATTATAATTTCTATTTTGTGCGATATTGTCATTATTATAATAGCATAGTATAGTATAATATAGTGGTGGTGTGTTGTGCATGGTGTTTGTGACATTTATTTAATTGATATATTATTATACTTCGCCTTCATAGATTTAATAATATGTAATACGTCTATTCTTTTCGCTCTGTCGCTTGATTATATATGTATTGTGCTCGCTACGCATCGCTGAAGACGCGTGGCGGGGTCGTTGCGGAAATCCAAATAGCAAAAAAAAAACAGCATTTTTTTTTGAAAATATTTTAGTTTATATACTGAAAATCGCAAGCTTTAAATAGGTGATTTAAGTATTTAGCGATCGAAAGTCTGCAGGCATGTGGCAGCCAATACACTTTGCAAGCTGTATGTATAATACTCATAGTGGCTGCAGCTTATAAATATAAATATTGTATAATATTCCCATCACTCGCATATCGCGCTTAAACCCGATTGTGTGTGTTGGGTTGGTGGAGGGAAGATAACGACGAGAAAGCATTCATATTATTTGTGGGCATATAACTATATTCTACGGCCGGTCCTTGCGTGTATTGCGAAGGAATCTTGTAAATTTGCTAGTCAAATTACTGCTGTAATAAGCTGGAAGGTCGTCGTTTTCCGCGTTCGCCGTCTGCAGGGCTGTAATATTGTCATCGTAAAACACGAAGCTGTTTTCCCGCTTTGGTTTTCGGTTTTCCTTTCCGCCGGTTTCGTAACAAATTCCATTGACGACGTTTGCGGCGCGGCGGCGCTCCGTGCGTGATGCGAATGAATTAACTTTTTTCTCTCTCCATTCACTCGCGCGCTGGAATCCGGATGAGGATTTATACTCGTGGTTAATGCAATTCAATCGTAAAATGAAAACAATACATATATATATATATGATATAATGGGTATTATCTGCGGATGGGGAATAAAATTGTGTTTTATTTCCAATTATAATACAATGAACTCTCCACCACCACGAGGTCTGCGAACAAACCGGGATATTTGAACTCTCGATAAAGTATTTTGTGATTTCGCGTGTGCAAAAGCCTCTCGCCACATTTAAGTTTAATCCTAAAATCGAGATAATCGTCAGGCTTTTGCCGCACGACGACCATTTATTTATATATATATATATATAGAAAACCTAATACAAGAACCGTTTATAGTACCTATATATATATTTGTCGGGAATACAGATTTTGTACAAGTCTTCAAGTCCGTGTCGTTTAAATCAATAAATGCGATGTCCCAGCTGTTAAGTACCTACTTTATGTGCGGAGGATACACCTATAGGCTATATACTTTGGTTGTGCGCAAACATATTGATATTCTGGGACGTCCTTCGAGTGATTTTTTTTTTGGATGGAAGGCTAACATTTAAAAAAAAAATAGTGTTTATGTTTAGGTCATGAAGCCGTATATATTTAAAATGCACTGCCGCTTGCAAAAATTCTTAAAATTATTTTTTCTTCTTCAGATAGGTTCTTTATAGGTATAATATTTAACACCAATTAAACATGATAGAAAGTGTAATTCGATTATGTTAGAATTGTTGGCTAACTAGAGCTCATTTATTCATTTGCAATATACAAGTTATGTAAATTATAATTTTCGTTGTAATACGCAGTTATTACTCACGAGAAGATTTTCATTTATCCTTAGCAATGTCGTTATAATATACTATTCGTATGAGAGTTATATAAAACGTTAAAATTATCGTAAATTATATAAAAAAACAAATCTCGATAAAATGTAATATTATAGGTTCTAAATAATGATGAAAAAATAATGAATCTGAATGCGATGTTTTTTTTATCGTGATTCCAACTATCGTTTTTTTTTTTTTTTATTAAATGTTAAGGACTCATTTTCGATAAAAAAAAAAGTACCCATGGTTTACTGCTCCAATGACATGGTCCTTTTTTATCGTTCCATGATTGAGAACCCATAACGATACCCGAATATTATACATTATTTGCATATGTGCAGGCAAATGTTTGCCAAACGCACACGGGATCAAGTCGTTATAATATGGAATATATTAAGTGGCCAAGCATAAATTATTTTCCACCAGATACAGCATGCACTTTATATTTATTTTGTACATTTAAGCATACTGTAGGACGCGATATGGGGGATCATCGCATCTACGTTTTTTCGTTAAAACTACGATTTTTCTTCTTTTTCTCGTTCTCTATAATGTACGAGTGTGGATGTACATGCGATACGTTTCTTTGTGCACGACGACGGACGAAGAGCTCACTTAAAACCATATAACGCTTGAACCATCACGGTAACAATTGTTAAATGAAAACCGTAACTGTTGTGTTAGACATATCTAAAGGTCTTGTCAAATGAATATACCTCGGTTTTCGACCCTCAAACACGCGTAAAGGGTTGAATTAGAACATGAATCATGCACGAGATAATTATTATGCTGTGGAAAATGAGACTTCACGCTATATACCGCCGTTTTTCAGACGAGTAGTTTTTATTTGTCTATATATTTTTTTTCGTCTATTTTTTATAGTTAACGACACGCTCAACGGGCGAAACACGCTTTAATAATTATATACTCTTCGTGGACGTTAAACGTTTTGAAAACAGTGTTCATATCAACATATATTTATATGGTAATTTTTAATATCACAAAATGCTTCGAGAGTGTTGAATGCTGTGTGGTGCGCAGGTTTCGGCAAACTTTAAATTGTATTATTATTATTATTGACACTATATTATAATATGACATCAACAGTTATATCGTCGTGATATATATTGTAGTCGATCGCGATTTATCGATGTTTGATAGATCGGCGACTATAATAATTAATCTCGTCTCCGTGTCGTATTGTAGAGAACAAATATAATCTCGTCGTAACGAAAATACCTACGCAGTGATTGTGATAGGTACCAGTACCTATATACGTATATAATATATATTATACTTACACGTATAATTAATTTATATCCAAATATTTGATTGTCTATACTATACCTACGACGACGCAGTGTACTTCGTGTATATATATTATATATTTATATATATATATTATATATGTATGGGGGGTGATGATGAAAATATATGATTCGCTTTACATTTCATCGATTGTCAGTTCTCGTCAGTCGTCGACCGTATGCAACATAATATCTATTATATTAGTAAAGTGATTAAAAAACAATATTCTATACACACGAGTGTCATATGATACGTATATACACGTACAATACAGTGTCATAGTGTTATTACTTATTATTGTATTGTAAAATGTATGTGACTATCGGCGTGCGAACCGGATCGAACATTATGGGGCGTGACGCCATCGCATGGGTTTTGTTTTAGAAATAATAGTTACAATACATATAATTTAAAGTCATTACGAAACAATATTTTTATACTATTGTCTATCGTAATCAATTTTTAAGGTTTTTCTCATTGAAGACAACATTCAATTTTAATTTAATATTAAAAATCAGAATGCTTTTCTGAGAACGCTGATGTATAAAATAGAATTTTTGAACTATAGTTGTTGATTATAGATATTACTTAAAAGTTTTAAATAGTTTTAAAGTTTAGATGAGCGGAGTGAAGAATGTTGATTTACTGCTCCGTTCATTTTAACTTTAAATATTCGATCAGTAATAATAATTTAACATGCAATATAGCCTCTACAGTAGAGCTCCCAGAATTTCATCAAAGGTGGGAGGGCCATACTTGGGGATCCATACTTCGTTTGATGTGCAAAATGGTCTTCTTAGTTGCTGTGTTAATGAGTTAATATTTTTGTTATAATGATTTGAACTACTTTCCACAAATTCGTTATTAATTGATAATTTATCCATATTATATTCTAGAATCTATATTACATAAATATATATATTTAGTATACTATAATAAGTATACTTAAACAATTATTTTATTAAGTCCAACGGTAGGGGGTCTGGATCTAGTTAGCCCCCCCACCACCACCATCCATACATTGTTACGCCAACTGAGCTTTAACGATTTTTATTTTTATTTGTAACAAACACGGTTAATCAACATAATTTAGTAGTTTATAATATTGCATTAATTGTTACCGTATACATTTGTAACCAATACATTCGATTGATTACTACTCAGTGTTTTGTTAAGTACCTGGTAAAAATGTTTTATCACTTAAATTGCGTTTTAGGACATATAGTATACCGAAATCATGCTGTCAGTTTTCAAGAAAACTCAGCATAATGTTTTGGATCCGTTAGATTCGATTTTTTTATATTCTTCGCTGTTGACGAAGAAGAATGGTCCGTTTTTAATTTTTATGTTACGTCTTACTCTTATATACTTATAGCTGTATTATTTTCGTGTAGGCGCCGAGAAAAAACAGACATTAAACATTCGAGTAATATACCCTATATACGTAATTATATTGTAACTATATATAAAAAAATATATAAAACGATAGATCTTGTAAGAAAAAAACATGATAAAAAGTGTTCCGTTTGGATCACTACAAAGTCGTGATGTTTAGATTAAATTCCATCCGTATCTGTTAACAAAACTGCGTCGTGTTTTCCTTCGCCCGAATAATGCAACAAAATCAGTTTAATTGTTTCGAAAGCTCGATGGCATTAAAGTGTATTTAATATTAAACGTAAACGCTTTTTGCATAAAGAATATATTTATTGTTATTATTTTTTAACTTCTCTTCTCTTCTCTAAAAAGAAAGATGCCTACGACGATATTTCACAACTTTTATAATTATTATTTTTCCTGTTAATAATATTGTCCATTATATACATAATATATTAATTAACCCATATAAAAAATAACGTGCTTTTGTTTTTACGTTTATACTTTACATGAATACTTGATGTCTGCAAAACACTACAGGTAAACGATCTAGAAGGAAAAACTGCTCTGTGTACACTATTTACGACTCACCGGCAG